CATACGGCCTTTTTTGAACACCATCCGAGTGACGGCAGACGCGAGCACCGGGTTTCCCGATTCTACTTCCGGCACCATATGAGGATAGGGCGGACTGTCGGCACGTTGAGAGACTTCGGACATAGAGTACTTGGGTCGAGAAGTCCCCTGGGAGACAAAATGAGTAACCATGTAAATCCATTTCTCATCCCAGCTGACAACCTTTGTGGAGAGCTCGTAGGGCTGATATGGTTTGATTTCCTTCCGAAAAACACAAGAAACCGCGCCGACGACAAGATTGCACCGACCAAGAGGTGTGCTACCAAAGAAGATGGGGGCAAACAGGATGCCGCACAAGTGCGATCTGGCAACATCCAGGTCGGTGAAATATGTCGAGTTTGATTTGTGAAGATTAAAGTCGCATTCAGACAGGGCTGGCCGAGCATCGACGATTGATGGCAGAAACAAGTGTCGGCTGGTGAGCCTAGATGAACCCCTCAAGCAGCAGGATAACTTCCATCTGAGCAAAGCCCAGAAGAACCGGAGCTGGTTTGTATTAGCGAGTGAACATTCTGAAACTAGGCTTATCGGCGACACTCACATGCCATACGAAGGGCAGTGACTTCGCAAAGATGCCCAGTGCGGTTATGACCAGCCAGTTCCGTCCCATCATGATGTGAGAAGCTGTTCTACTACAACGGGACATGGAAGGTTCATGCCTACAGCCTGATTTCCGGTTCGAGTGCATAAAAACTCGGTGAAGATCAAAGGGGTCAAGAAAGGTGATTAAACGAAGGTTCTGAGGCAGTTTATTTGCTACCGAGAGATCGTCCAAGATTGCCGCGGGACGTTGATCATGCCGAGGCGACTGGGAGCGACGAAGTACTACTTAAACTCGACACCGCTGAGCCATCGCCGGAACTATCTCATTTATCACCAAAGACACGCCGTCACCTCCGCTTCTTAATTGTTCTAACACTTCACTCAGTGCACGCAATGTCCGATCAGAACCTCATTCGTATCGACTACGAAGGCAACTTTGCCATCATAACGCTCAACAATCCGACCAAGTTCAACTCCCTGACACAGAGCTTATTCTCTCGTCTAGCGAGTCTGCTCAGGAAGGCAGATGCAAACAAGGATGTTTATGTTACTCTTCTGATTGGAGAGGGACCTTTTTTCTCCGCGTAAGTCAGCCTTCACCTTATCGAGTAAGACCAGGCTCCTGACTCGCCGCCACAAGCGGTGCCGATCTCAAAGACAGCCCTCCGTCCATGGACGAGATGCTGTCTCGCCCCTATTGGCTTCCTAAGCTCGTAAACAACAACTTGGATGTCGCGAGGGCCTTTTATAATCACTCTAAAATCCTTGTGACTGCTTTGAACGGGCCTGTGCTCGGACTTTCGGCCGCGCTCATCTCCCACTCAGACTTTATCTACGCAGTGCCTGATGCGTATCTTTTGACGCCGTTTAGTTCGCTAGGTTTAGTTGCTGAAGGCGGTGCCAGTGTTGCGTTCGTCCATAGGATGGGACCCAGTAAGGCCAACGAGGCGTTGATCCTGGGCCGGAAAATCCCCGTCAGCGAGCTTGTCCAGGTCGGCTTTGTCAATCACGTCTTCAAGGACAAAAACAACTTCCGGGCCCAGGTGTTGGAATATTTACGCCAGACTTTTAGTTCGCATCTGGTCGGCTCGAGTCTGCTGGGAACAAAGGCACTGATGCGTCGCCGGATCGTTCGTGAGCAGGACGAGATGGCGCCCTTAGAGACGTTCCAGGGCCTTGAGCGTTTCTGCGCAGGCATCCCACAGGAGGAGATGGGCAAAGTTATCTCGGGAGCTAAGAAACACCGACTTTGAGCAAGCATGTTCCAATTGCGTGCCACCCCCGCCGCTGGTCTCTGATTCCTGTTCGAAGCCCCACTGTACACAAACATTATCCAATCATGTATCTAGGTTAGGCGTGCTACCTCGGCAGTAGAGCATCTCAAAGTTTGCCGAGGCAAACATTACTTTATCTGGTCTTTCCTTCGTCGTGCTGCCCATTCTGACCTGTTTCCATCGATATCCGTAGTCAAAATGCCGCCCTCATCGGGATCCACTGATGTCTTCTCTGGATCAAGGAAAAGAGCAGCCGCGGCTTGCCATGCTTGTCACGCTCGCAAAGTTCGCTGCAGCATCTCACAAACTGGGAGTCCCTGCACGAACTGTGCCCTAGACAACGTCAACTGCCAAGCACGTTCTAGGCAGCCTCAAAGGTGAGTCTCGGGCTCGTTCCATTGGGAATTGACAGTTCACTGACTGATGTTCTTTGCCGACCTCGGAGCGGTGCCCGAACACGGAGAGGCCAGAATCTGCCGAGGGCGCAGAGTGACGCGGGGTCCATCACCCTGGACGGGGCAAGCCACGATGAGCCAGTCTACCGTCCATTTACTGACCACTTCGGTCACCACTCACAAGCCCAGGAATCTGACACGGCAGCCCCACAAGCTCAAGCAGCTTTATCACCAGTGTATGGTCAGTGCCGTTAAACGTGGTACTAATTGTTCATGGAGTTCTAACACTCACACAAGGTGACACTCAAGGCGTTGGTCTTATTGCCGATCTTTGCGAGCCCGAGCGTCCCGACAAAAGTGGTCATTTTGTCGTCGCAGCCTTAAGCTCAATGAATATTGATTCTGAGACGCACGAATACTTGGAAAAAAGAGGGTGCTTTGATTTACCAGCCCTCGACATCCAACAATCACTCGTCCAGGCGTATTTCCATTACGTCCACCCCTTCTTGCCCGTCATACATGTTTCTTCATTCCTCAAAACCTTTGAAAGCCCAGGACAGAATGGGGTGTGCCTCCATCTTCTCTGGAGCGTGTTTCTGGCAGCTGCAAATGTAGGAAAGGATCCGATGCAGTAGATTACATCACAGTAAAATTTATTAATCCTTGATCGTGCAGTTTGCCGACGCGATGACCGTGCAGTCAGCTGGTTATGAATCGCGAAAGGATATGAAACGGGCAATGTTCTTACGTGCAAAGGTATGCTCTCGGTTTGTCCAACTCAAGATCGTGTCTAATTTTCCTCCTTATAGGCGTTGTACGACGCAAACCACGAACGGTCCAAGATAGCCCTGATTCAAGCGGTGCTGTTGATGGGTTTCTGGTATTCAGACACAGAAGACAGGCTTGGGCCATGGCACTGGAACGGCATTGCCATCAGCCTTTGCCAGACTGTTGGGTTGCATCGTGAACCTGATGCAAGCCTTAACCACTCTCAGTATCGTTCATCCATCGATCGGGATCTGTGGAAACATCTATGGTGGTGCTGCTTCTTCCGAGAAACGTGGTTATCCGTTGGCATGGGACGGCCAATGCGTATTGACTTGGCACACGCCGATACACCCAAGCCAGATGCAAAAGCCTCCGAGAGCTTGTATTCTGAGCTAACAGAGTCCCAGCGTCGGCGGTATATCTCAGAGGATCCTGAGAATTTATTTCTGTTGTGGGATGAGTTGCTCTCCGTCACCAGCATTTTGTCAAGAATTCTTTCTGTCCAACACCTCGCCAAACGGACGCTTTCGACCCACTCGGACGTGAATGATCTGGAACGCGAGCTAAGAGGACATCATAAGCACCTGGATTGCCTCAGAGCTAGAGCTACCGATCCAGTTCTCACTCTTCACATGCATCATTTCGAATTGTTCTTTGAGTAAGAATGCTGGCCATATGACAAAAGTATCATTATAACAAATGCGACTAGGTCTACACTCATAACTCTATTTCGTCCATTTGTATTACAGAGCCTTGGAAATCAGCGCGCCGTCGCCCATGACAAAGAATCACAAAATTGGTTGTTAAGCATAGAAAGGAAAGCAACCGCCGCGGCCATGAATACGAACAACGTCCTCGGTGACATGATCATGGCAGATATGATCTGTCTCTCTCAGTCATTAATGTAAGAACATTTCAATAAGCACTAGCACCTGTTTGTTTCACATCACTTTGCTCATATTGGATAGCTGCATCGCTCTTGTACCGACGCTGCAAATCCATCTCCTGCATTCTATGTCACCGCGGAAGTTGGTTCATCGCCTAGGCTGCCATCGACTGGATCTGTGTATGATGGTAGTACAGGAAATCAAGGTCACATACTTTGGCGCGGAGATCTTGTCTCGGCTATTTACAAGAGCTCGAGAGGTCATAAATGTTAGGCGCCGTGTTCTGGAATCCCCCCCGCCTGCCGGAACAGATGAAAGTGGCGTGGTTATGCCAGAAGGCCGAGAGTATCATGATAGAGAAACTGCCAGCTCAGCGTCGCCCATGATGTGGGCCTTCAACGCTGCCAGTAACTTTGGACTTGGGACAGGCGCAAGGTACGTGTTACCTACATACGACAGCTCGATATTGTGGATGTTTGGTAGACGGCACCTAACTAATCAATGGTCAGCAACGAATATGAAGATGCAGATGTCAACGCCATCCTCAGCCAGTGCATATTTCCCGATTTCGGAACAATTCAGGCGATGGGCCTAGCAGAAGCTTCACAACCATGGAATTAACGAGTCAAGATGATGATGATATTGCAATACTAGTCCAAGGGAATCTCGAGAAGCGGAGGATAGCACAAACAATTACAAAAATAAAGTTCATCACAACTTCGAGTTGGTTCCACGGCCGGTCTTTATGTCGGTAGGCAATAATTGATCGCCAAGGACAATATCGGGGTACGCCAAGCCTGCTGACATGCCTGCGAGGCCTGGCAATCTCCAAGCGCCACCATCTACTACCAAGACATGGCCATTGATGTAATTACCAGCTTCACTGAAAAGGAATACGGTGGCATCGGAAACCTCCTTGAGAAGGCCGTATCTTCCCAGCGGGATATTGCGGGCTGCTTGTCCAGACTCTCGCGAAGCTTCGCTCGAAAGTCTTTGAAGCCCCTCAGTTCCTTCAATGCCTCCGGGGCTGATGACATTGGATGTCAGCCCTCTTGGGCCATACTCCAAGGCAACAGACGCAGAGAGCGCATCCACGCCAGCCTTTGCCGCGGCGACGTGGCTTTGGTAGGGAACTCCGGTATAGTGGAACGTGGCAGAGACGAAAATGATGCGACCGCCAGTTGGTGAACCAGGGTTCCTGTTCCTTGCGGCTGAGGCTAGTAGATAGGGTAGAGTGGACTTGAGCGTGTTGTACGATCCCAGTAGATCAATGTCCACTACACTCTTGAACGCATTGGCAGAAAGGCCGTCGATCGGTGCGAGGAAGTTGCCAGCTGCTCCGGCACTAATACTCGTTTCTCTGGTTAGCAGATGAATCTAGATCTCAGACAGTCTGGGCATATCGGGCCGGGGTTAATGCACGAAGGCCTATTCTTACATCACAAAATCAATACCGCCGAGCTCTCGTACACATTGACTGACGGCACCCTCTAATGCCTCTAACTTGCGCACATCAATGTTGCCAATGCCGATCACCTTGGAGCCGGCACGGACTTTAGCAATAGCCTGGGCCATTTTCTCAGTCTTCTGAGAATTTCTTCCGACGATGCAAGCATCGGCTCCTAGGTGGACAAGGGCTTTCACTTGTGCGAAGCAAATCGTTCCGCTACCGCCGGTACAGAAGACTACCCGGTCATCTACAACGGATGAGCAAGAGTCAAATGTCTTGGGGGGCAGGGCTTACCGAAAAGACTGCTCTGCCATATTTTGGAGACGAATTCACCCTGCGAAGACGACATTACGTTACACTGGCAAGAGCGTGTGTTGTGATTGTTCTTGGCTTCCAATTATGAAGTTTTCGCTAGCAGACATGTTGTCACTGGAAGATCAACCAATATGTAATCGCAAATAAGGATTGACTAGTTGTAAGTTACCGAGGCTGTCTCTGCCATGTGACCTAGCGTGCGCCGGTTACACTCCTCGCCTCGGCAAAGTTGACAAGTTGGGTGGGGTTAAGAAACATTGCCGCAGACTCGATATCGGCAGGCATGTCTAGGCTCTGGCGCCGAGGAACACTGGGAGATCAAAACGTTAGGTATAGATCAAAGGGCCGAGGAATAAGCTCTTTGCTTGATTTCTGAGCTCCCCCGTTAGGAAACGTCTGTTTTAAGAGTCATGCCGTGGCATGTTAGTATATCGAGCTACGGCTTCTGGGTTGGGATGTGTATCAGAAGAAGTCTAAAAGAGACAATTAAAATAACGTATGTGCATAGCGAGTGAAACAGGCAAGCGAGTGAAACAAAATCCCTCATACTATATCTTCTCCATTCGATCAATTAATTCTCAACCATCCAGCATGCCGCAATCAAATAAAGAGGCTAATATCCTTCTTGCACTTCGAGCCTATTAGAACAACCTAAAGTTAAGTCTGCGACGCGCTGCAAATATCTATTAGGTCAATTCTACAACTCTATCCCTTCGATTGTGTTAAGGCTCCAGAAGGTATTCCGCCCCACATCACCCCCGTCACATGATAGGGATGCATCATCAATCATTCCCACCAAAAACATCATACAAATCATTCTCAAGTTATCAATGAGCTCTCAATCAATACCTGCCGAGGCCCTCAATGCATATGACGACCAAAGCTTGATCAGGGAGGATAACAGCAGCCGGGAGCATGATAGCAGCAGGCGACCTGGCTTTCCTTCTGCAGAAGACCGAGGGTTCAATTTCCAACCATTCAATATGGAAAGGCGCGATCTTAAGGTCAACCAGCTGCCCCAAGAGCCGCTACACCTCTTCCAACTCTTTGTGCCTCTTTCCCTAGTTAACAGCTGGGTTCAATATACCAACAGCTGTTGGAAAATCCGGGAATCCCCCTTATCTTCAGGATTCAGACTGTTAGTCTGAAAGTCCTAGATTTAAAGTTCAAAGTCCTAGATGAAACT